GAAAAAAGATTCGATCATATCGTGGATGCGAAAAGCCATGAGCATAAACGCTTTTAAAGTTTTTTTAATCTCACTAGAATCTACTAATGTTCATAATATAGCGTCAAAACCTTCGATATCTTTCTCGTCAGTATCTTTAATCAGCCTCATTCTCAGTCTCGTCAATACGTTGGATCATATGATCTACATGATCACGGTTTTTGTTCATTGTCACAAATATTTTTGGATTTCGTTACAATCACTACTGACCAGAGACACGCGGAATTAAGTTTGCTTAGGCTCGATCTCGATTCGATCGTAATATCTTCTTTTTCTGTGATCACGATTCTGGCTTATGGAAAAGTATTTTAGGATTAATTCGTATTAAGTCTAAAAGTAGTTTTACATATTCGTTTTTTTCACTGATTCTGCCGGCCGATGTCTCATTTATTTATCGTCTCTCCTGAGTTTCATTTCGCTTGATATGATTTATACCATAATTCCGTAAAATTCATAGAAAACTTAACGATTTTTAGTTCCAGTTCGTATAAGTTTTTTCTCGTAACTCCGGACCGACACGTCTCTGATTTTGACAGTTCCAAAATGATCGTACATAAGGACTCGTATCATCAAAACCGCCTAGAATTGGTCAATGAAACACAATCTCTAAAGCGATCAAAGCTTAACTGAAAATTTTCGAACTCCGCTTCGGTTTGATCACGGTCACTCCATTTTTCAGATGTTTAGTGGAATCATTTTATTGAATTATATTCTGTTTGAATATTCATGAAATATATCTTAGAGCAGTTTTTCGAATATATCAGAATCATTTTATTTTTGTCGCCGTAAACCAGAATAAAACAGAACAACACCATATAGACATAAACTGGAAACAAACTTTGTTACACAACATAAATGCATATGATAAAAAAAACCATTAAAAGATTTAAATTTCTGAAGTGGAAGAATATTGTTCATCATTATTATTCGATATGACTTCTCGATCAGCAATCGCATCAGCATCAGCAATAGCCGCATCAAGTGCAACTGTATCAATAAGTAATTCTTCATCAATATTTTGTTCTTCATTACCAATATTAAGATTTTCATCCTCTTCATTCGAAATTTCGCTTTCTTCAGTTGAAAGAGTTGGTGATCCATTATCTTGTTTTATATTTTGTGCATTAATATCTTTCTGTCTATCAAAATAACATAATGATTGACCAAGTTTAATTGGATCACCAGATTTAAAATTAAAAACAAGATTATCAGGTGCTTCAAAAACAAGTACAATAGTGGAACCTTCAAAAAAAACGAAAAAGAAAAAAATTTAAAGCAGAGAATATTTCTTGTGTTTTACTAACCAAAATTAAAATCACCAAAATTATCAGCACGTTTAAGTAAAATTCCATTTGAATTTCGCATTGTTTGAAATGTTTTTTCTAATTTTGGTCGACAACGATTATTTGTTTTTAATTCCTAAGAAGGAAAAAATTTTAAAAGATTTTGATTTTTTTTATATTAAATTATTTTCTTACAGGATCAAAATGAACATTAATACTACCAACAATTGTTGCTCCAACAGCTGTCATTGAAAAAAATCCATATTTCCATGAACCATAATAAGCTGCTCTTTCATTTAAACAAAATAAATTTTGGAGCCAACTAGCAACTTTTGGATTTACTGAAAATAAATGACCAATATAATGACGACGCCAACTTATTTGCCTGTAAACAAAAAAATAAGAATACAATAAAGATATAGATATAACATACCATTCTGTTGGTGAATGAAATCGATGATAATCTCCAGGAGCAAGATAGATAACCTAAATACAATTTTTTTCTGTTTAACTCTTTGGCTATCGACATAAGAGAGAGAAAGAGAAAGAAAAATCTCTTTAGAAAATCATTGTAGCTATTCATGTTTGATCCAATGTCACAGATTTCGACAAGATGATGTTAAATAGTCCGTAATGTATGGAAATCTTTGGAACAGTCAGCAATACCCAGACGAACATCGAATTCGTTACACTAATAGAGAGCATAGCTTCATTTCCTTGTACATCGTTCAGTATTGCTGCAAATATAACATCTTCTCGGAGAAGTTTGGCTGCTTCATTTGGAGGAATTAGAGAGAGGGAAATATTTGACTCAATGATCTGCCAACATGTGACTTCTTGAAGTCGCACTTTGTAATGAGTACTTGAATAAGAAAAAAGAGAAAAAAAAATAAACATATGTACAATAAACTGACTGTTTTCTATGCACAATCGTTTTTAAGGCACGAATCTAGAACATACCATTATGAAATGGTTATGTCACAAGCTTCAGCTACCTGATGCTTATTTCTATGCAACTGAATCTAAAAAACATGTACTAAGATTGGTTGCGTTAGCTTTAGACACTGATAAAGTTCGTGACGCATATATACGTCGGCGATAGCCAAATGGTTAATAATTATTCTTTTTTTTTGTCGTGGCATGACATACACATGCGAGATACTATCGCACCAACACTTACATATCAAATTATCTTTTCAAAATAAAATTGAGAGTAGAAATCTACCATAGTTTCCAATCCAAAATACACGTCAAAAGAGCGAAAGAACTATTCGAATAAAACAGATCATATCACGAGATCTGTTCATAAACTATGTCTGATAAGAACTGTCTGGATCTAAGCAGTATAAAAAATTTTGCTCGTTTCGGAATAGAATTTCAGTCATAGAACAACGGTTGGTCGGACAGATTATTTACAAGAATTGAACTGTTGCAATAGACCAGTCCTTCAGATCGAAAGTAGAACTAAACTTGTCAACATCTAGTTGAGGATGAAAGCGCATATAAAAAAGAAGCAAGACATTGTGGATTCTGCTGAACTTTTATGGATTCTTATACAGCTAGTTGTACTTTATTATAGCTCGTATACTCACTAAACCAAGTTATATTTCGATAGATCTCACACATAAATCTTTTCTACGAGAAAAAATAGAAATTTTGAATTATTTTGTAATGGATTGACCTCATCAATTCCATCTTATCGGACTAATTAAAATCATTAGTATGAATAAGAAAGAAAAGACCTTTTGCTTCCATATCGTTGAAGAAATGGAAAGAAGATAAGAGAAAAGTTGATTTTATACATAAGTGTCGGTGTGGTAATATCATGCGTGAAAATATCAGTTAATCGTTTCTTTTTATCTTCATACTCACTGCATAATAAAGTGCATGACCACGATATTTAAGTAAACTTTCAGCATATGAATGTGCATCATCATTATCATAATTAGAATTAGATCTGCTTTGATTTTGTTGTTGAAATTTCATTAAACCAGCCGTTAGTGGAACACCAAGAAATGAAGATGCACTATATGTTATACCTTTGACCTGTTCAATAAGACCACGAGATACTTTACCACATGTTAAAACACGACCATCACATGGTGATACGATCGGAGATTGTTTATCAATAGGACGTAATTCCATTTTTATTTTACGACGAAAAAATTCTGATATTGTACAATAAGATTTAAGATCTTCATTATACATTTCATGAGCATGACACGAGAATATTTTTATATAAAAATTAAAGATTAGTGGACGAAGCCATATAGGTAAATAAAGACGACTTATCCAACCCATTACACGAGAAATTAATTTAAGTGGTAACATTTTATAAATTGATATCTAAATTAAAAATTTTAAAGAGTCATTTTCATTTAATTATAATGATTTGATATTTTATTTTCGATTACTTTTGATGGTGTTTTTGGTTTCTTTAATAAAGTTCTTGGTTTTTTAACAAAATTTTTCATTCTTGCTATTCGTTTTGCAGTTGATGATAGGCCATGTATTGATTTTGACATTGTATGTCTAACACCAGTACCTAATTTTTGTCGTACTAGTGCAGCACTTCGTTTAACTCGTCGACTAACAACAAGCGGTGTTAAAATAAACATCATAACAAGATAAAATGGAGTTGATGCATCACCTTCTTCAACAAGTTCTTCATCAGGAAAGAACATGATTAATTAATTAATAACACAACAAAAAAAAAGGAAAAGACTATAATAATATCTAAAAGATGTAAGAAAATTTTGTTTATTTTTTTTTCTCTGAGAATCTAGATGTTGAGCTAGAAAAAAAATTAGAAAATCTTCACTTCGATTTAATTAAACGAGTTGAAATCTTTTTGTTAATAATTGAGATCTACGTAAAATATGATGCCATAGGAATAAAACAAACAAGTATTGCTTTGTAATATCATTAATAACTTTCTATGAGCCGATCGATAGGTAATATCTATTGAACAAACGCACAGTTTGTTCAAATAAAGATTGGTGAGTACTAATAAAGATTCACGCAAATTAACTAGTCAAAGTTTGACCTGAAATTTTGCACATAGATGCATCTCACTGTTATTAAATTGTTTGAAAAGTTTTCTTCTGAAGATATTCATTGATCAAGATACTTTCATGTGTCATAGGTTAAAGACAGAAAATTAAATCTTTTGATCGTTAAATATCTCGAGAAAGTATTATAATTCTCAAGGACAACTTTCCAAGCTATCTAATAACGATAAGACGAACTTACAATAATGAGCAAACTATGTGTATCCGACAAATAAAGACATTGCATTAGAAATTATCTATTGATCGTTTCACATACTTTCTTTTTAAGAAAAGCTAATAATTCAATTTCAAAATAACACTTATTTCTCATTAAGCTTCTATTACGCAAAAAAAAAGAATCAACTTATTTGCTTAAATTAAAGTGAAGATATTTCAAATTTTGATCTAGTAGTTATTTTTGGTTCACCTAACATATACTAATGGTGTTAATAACAAAAAAAAAAAAGAAAAATCGAAAACCAAAAAGATTTTCGTTTGTTCTACAATGATTTAAAAACGAAAAAGAAAACAATCGACCAAAAAATATCTACAGATAGATGTGGAAAGACTTTTGCTAATATAAGCTGAAATGTCCCAAAAACAAAATGTTCGTTTTTTTTTTTCATAACTATTTGTTCTTCTTTACTTTGCCATCATTTTTAATTACCGACATATTAATCATCAATTGTAGAATAACATAAACAGTGAGAATAATCAATGTAAAAATGATTTTTCCAAATAATGTACTATGTAAGATAAATTTAATAAACCAAATCAAAGAAGGAATACCAATAATAACAAGCCAAAAAATTTCAATTAAAAGATCAGAATAATTTTGAACAACAGATACTTCTGGTACACCAAGACCATCAAAATTATCATGTTGAACAAAATGTTCATAGATGCGATCCTTTATGTATGAAAAAACAAAACAAATTTCAATCGATTCGAGTATGATTTTATACCTAATAATTTAGAATTATTAGACATCTCTTTTTTTCGGATGATTTCTTGTTTTTTAAGTTACCTTTTCTTGGAAAAGTTTCTGGATCCAGTCACCACATTTTGTATCATCTTCATATGGAATTTGAGGTGTAGGAGCTCGTCTACAAAAAAAAAAGTAAATTATTGTATACAATGACGTAAAACCCTTCGGAAGAATAAAAGACCATGATTTTCTATTATGGAAGTTTTCAGTGCTCCTTCAAAGATGACTTTCTATTCCGTGATAGTTTTTTGTTAATATTTACCTAGAAAATCAAGAATTTTAAAAAAACCTCTTCTACTATTCATAAAAGATATATTTAGCAAATAGGTACCGGAACATCGGGATCTTTTCTACCAGAGATGTTGGTCGTTTCTTTTTTTTTGACCCGACCCGTCAACCCGACCCGTTGGGGATCGAACCCGGCCCGCTTCACGGGTTGAATGATTTTTTTTCGATCCGTGCCAANGTTGATTCAGAATATCATTTTAGTTGCACACACGGTCGTACTTTTTCTGATCGAAATCTACTTAAACAGACATAAAATCATCTCTCGTGAATTGTATCCTTAATTATTGCCAGTTAAATCAATAATACTATTACAGTAAGAAAAACGTAATACAAAAATAAAACCAAACGAAAGCTCTGGAGAAGTATGAGAGTATCTATTTTAATTTACTTGATATAAAGTTGAGCTTTACAAGCATGTCCTTTGAGCAATGTACGAAATGTTGGTAGAGCACTATCTTTTGAAAAGCCAAGCATAAAATTATAAACACCTGGTACTGGAAAAAAAAGAACTAACAATAAAATAAAAAACAAATAAGTATCAAAATAATTTACTTTTTCCTTTTGCTCCTTGCATAATCATTGTAAAACCTCTTGTTCGTGGTAATATATGATACTTTAATTCTGGTAAATTTTTCTCTCGTGCATATTTCATACTTTCTAATCGTTTTTTTTCTGTGAATCGGGTACCTTCACAAGCCATCAAAAACTAAAGAAAAAATAAAAATAAAATTTGTAAACGCAGCCTCTTAGGAGCTAAAAATATGAAACTCACATGTATTCTTTAGCCTTATTGTATTAATACACAATAAATCAAATGAAAAATTTCTACCAGACTGTCGTTGTTTTCCAAGGATAATCAATTGTCAGAGGGTCGGTCTATTGCATTTATTCCTACATTTTGAACAGAAGTTTTTTCTATACTGGCGTTCTAGTTTTTGCCTTATTGTCATTCGTTTGTTGTTCTTCATTTTTGTATTACGTTTTTCTTACTGTAATAGTATTATTGATTTAACTGGCAATAATTAAGGATACAATTCACGAGAGATGATTTTATGTCTGTTTAAGTAGATTTCGATCAGAAAAAGTACGACCGTGTGTGCAACTAAAATGATATTCTGAATCAACATTCAAAACTGGATAGATCAATATTAGTTTCAAGTATTTTCATGAACTTCTTTTTCGTAAAAATATCCTTCTTGATCCTTCTTAGGGATGAGTGAAACACTGAATTTATCGAAAAATTGTTTCAACAGTCGGAATCAAGTTTTAAGGTTATAAAATGATATTTGAACTCAAAATGACAGATGATTAAACAATAAAACCTGCGTTTTGATAAAATTCATTTTTTGACTCCTCGTCCTAAGAGAGAAACTAGGAGCGATATTTTCGGCGAAGTACAAAAGTTGATGGAAACACTTGAGACTCACATAGGTCGCACTTTTTACGATCGAAACTTACTGAATACCAGTCAAAAAGACATAAAACCATATCTCGACAATAGTATCCTTAAGTTTTCCCTAGAGACGCGAATTGTTGCCTTGATATTTTTATATACCATTTTGTAGCGCTATCAATGTACATGTGACGGCCATTGACTATTTCAACCGACTTACGCGCAGAACAAACAAGTGCTATAGGACTAATTCTACCAGACGTTACTCTCAGACATCTGGTACGAGAGTTTGATATAGAATAAACTAGATATCTCGATGGAAAAAGTACTCTGACGCATGTTGTTCTTAGTCAGTATGAAATGAGTGAGACGCGGGAAGTCACAAAACCTCGATTTAAAAACTTACACTCACGAAATTTTCTTCAAACAACATAATGTGCGTTCCACAAAAACAAAAAACAAAAAAAAAAACAACCTACGCTAAAATAATAATTATCTGGATAACCATTAAGAAGTTGTTGAATATCATGTTCTAATACTTTCTTATCACTTTCCCAAATACGACGTAAAAAAATTGATTCAGAAAAAAACCATGACCAACCAAGAATTGGTAGTAAACTAAGTGAACGTTTTCCAACAATTTTTAAACCCTATTGAAAACAGAAAGATAAATTTTTTCAACTAAATCAAATTTTTTTTTTTCGATCATACTCCAAGTAAACCAATTTTTTGTGCAACTACTAATCCAACAAGCCAATCAATTTCATATCGATGATTAACAAGTATAATTGCATATTCATGTTGAAGATCTTTTAAATCTTGTGGATTGACATAAGCCGTTACACTTGAATCAGCCCACCATGAATAGAGAAAAGTTAATTCTAAAAAGAAAACAAAATATCAATAATAAGTTTATAATGAATTTTTAACACATACGACTCCATAATAATGTTCCGAGATAATAATTTATTCGACGATATAATTGTTTATTAAATGGCCAAATAAAAATGTATGTCAGAAGTTGAGCAAAGTTCACAATTAAACCACTAATAACAAAACAATAGCAAAGAAATATTTGAACCGGTAATAATGATTGAATAGTATTGAGATGTTTTCGATCGAACTTCATTAATTGAAGTCAATAATCATACACACAGAAATAATAATATAAGAAATCAAAAATATATAAACAAAAAAGAAAAGAAAAAAAAATGATGCCATAATATGCACATTATCATAATTAATGACGTCAAAAATCATTATTCTACACGTGCAAAGAAAAGCAAATACAATAATAACTCTCCTAGAAAAAAAATTGTTTTATTTTGAAAGACAAAAAATTTTAATGAATAGGTAAAAAAAAGAAAATTCATTCCTATTATAAAAAAAGCAAAAATGTAGAAAAACACACCATTTTTGGGCAGATCTGCCCAGGGAATAAAAAAATGAAAAAAATGCCATGACTTTCATGAATTTTACATCAAAAAAATGAAAAAAAATGGCATTTCTGATGATGAAACGGACATTTTCGTTGATGTTTTTCAATTTCATCGATGAAAATGTTTATTTTCATTGGTGACATTGCATGAATTTGATTTTTTTCA